CTGCATCAATCACAACGGTTATATGAATAATACTAATAATAATTACAGCTTTATATTAGTAGTGGTAATGTTGTTAGTACTATAAGACAGGATTTCCAGTTCTGGTATGCGTATGTAACACTGCATTATATTTTTATATTTATATAGTACACAGAAAATTCAGTATTATATGTCTTAGTTGTTGGAGTTAGTCGAGTCATACTTTTCCGGATTTGCATTTCATCAGCTAACTAAATAAACAGTTCATCTCCTTCTTTGATGGATGTCCTTCCTCGGTTTTGTCTTGCTTGCTGCCTTTTGGGGAGCACTGTAGGCAGTTTGTGAGATAAAAGGGCTAATATTCTATATACAGAGCCCCATAAAGTACACTTAGAGCACTGGCTGAGCTATTGTGGTACAAACAGGCATAGGGGATTGGGAACAAAGCTTACAGTGAGAACAAGATTACCTTTCATGCACTGGGAAAAACGAATGGGAATTTGATTACAGGTGAAATGGCCAAAACAAGAGAGGTTGAAGAACACAAATGAAAGATTTAACAACATAACTATTATTGAAGGGGAAAGATCAAACTTAGAACTCCAAATGTTAAGCAGGGCTATCAATGTTAGATTACAAAGATTACTTTCTTGGGATCTTTAGGGACTTCCTTGGGATTCCAGGAGTAACAAAGGGGGATTGTGTTAGAACACAGTCCCAGCTCTGATTAACCTACCTGTGGGCACTTGTTAAAAGTCTGCTAGAAAACGTATCTTTTTAATGTATCACTGCTAACTTTTTATCTCCGATCTCTTTCTGTTTCCCTAGTGCTGTTTGCGTAGGTGAAAAAAGGTCAAAGGGAATGGAAACACAATTTTAAACAGGCCTGGGCTATCTAATCATTGGCACTCTACATCTGCTGTGGGCTACCACCACCTCCACTGAACTCAAGCAGCCTTTAGGTTAGTGAATGAGGATAGTGAGACTTGAAGTTCAGAGTTTCTGCTTTTCAATAGCTGTGTATACCTACTATGCAGGCAGTGGCAAGCTGTTGCTTTTTTAAACACAAATGAAAATAATTGGATTAGCTACAATAATAATATTGATGGTGTTTATTATTACACAGCGAGTTTTATTGAGTTGAGAACTGACTTGTATAGTGAGAAAGTTGGAAAATAATTGGTATATCCGATTATTGGATGGAGTATTTTTTTAACATCTCAGTTTAATGTTAATGTTGCCAGTGCTTAGTTCACTAATAAATTGGAGTGACCTACAAGCCAACATAGTAAAAAAAAAAAAGACCCAGAAATATTCAAAACAGCTATATAATCTAACGGAATCATTTTAGGATACAGGAGCAAAATTATATTTTCATTAAGAAGAAGACACTAAAACTAGTCAACTAATAAACGATGAACAGTGCTGTCTGTCTGTCTGTCTGGGGGGGATATAAGAGTTCACTCCCAATATAACTCTAAATGTGTTCATATGAATTGCTGGTAGTCCATGCTTCAGACTCTCCACGCTCACAGTGCTAAGTTCATACTGGAAAAAAGACTTGTGGTACATGACAGACAACTTCCAACTTGGAGGGCACACAGGCCAGTTGGAACAAAAATCTCCAGTTTAGGAGATGTGAGGATTTTTATTCCATGTCAACTTTTGTAGTCAAGATTTTACAAGTCAATCTCAGCCCTCCCTCAATCTGCTGTTTAGCTGTTAAATCCCTAATCAGGTCCAGGTAACAAACATAAATTGAATTGTATTTATATATATTGTACACGATAGCACCTTTAGTTCTAATTATTGAACTTCGTGTTGGAACTAGAAGAGTAAATTATTGAGAAGAATATAGGAAAACTGTCTATTTCCTCATAGATACATGGAAAAATTAAAATTATTCTGTGTGTGGCAACGCATATGTACTAATAACGTGGCGAGGACTTTCTCTGTTATGTACTTCATTAGAAGTTGGAGAAACCTGTTGGGTGGTCAGATTGGCTTATCTAACCTTGCCATCAGTAAAGGTGTATTCATTGGTTTCTGTAAGCCACCTTTTTTTTTCCAGTAATCAGTCAGATGAGGCAGTTTTGCAGTGTGAGAAGAAATTTAAAGTGGCAGGACTCTGGGAATAGTCAGCAAGCCGGAGCAGGGGCCCGTGATGAGACTCCAGCCCCCCGCCTGCACTGAAGACAGTCCCAGGACACTCACTGCTGGAGCCTGGCCAGCTGACTGCTCTGAGGATGAGCTGGTACTGAGGGGGGGCTCGATGCTTATTGGCTCTTACTCAATAGGATGTGACCCTGACTGTCCCAATGGTTAAAGACAATGACTGGGGGGAGCGGGAGGAGGGGAGGAAGGTGATCACAGGATTCATTTAGCATGTCACATCCCCATTGCATGTATAACAGCATTGCATGTATAACAGCATGGCATAAACCAACAAGCCATATCAATGCATGGCAAAGAGCAGGATGGGCATACTGTATATGGCAGCATGTCACATCACTGCTTGGCAAGCAGCGTGGTATATACCAGCATGTCACATCCATGAAGAGTATACACAGCAGCAACATATAGCAACATGTAACATCTCTGCATGGCATATATTCTATAGAAGCATTACATATACAAGCATGTCACATTCCTGCATGGCATATATAGAAAATAGCAGCAAATAGCAGCATGTGGCATCCTTCAAGGGAATATTTACTATAAAAACATGGCATATACCAGCATGCCCTATCCATGAAGGGTATATATGGCGGCATGGCATATGCCAGCATTCCCTATCCATGAAGGGTATATATGGCAGCATGGCAAAAACCAGCATTCCCTATCCATGATGGGTATATTTGGCAGCATGGCATATACCAGCATTCCCTATCCATGATGGGTATATTTGGCAGCATGGCATATACCAGCATTCCCTATCCATGATGGGTATATTTGGCAGCATGGCATATACCAGCATGATCTATCCATGAAGGGTATATATGGCAGCATGGCATATATCAGCATGATACTTGCAGGACAATTACCAAAAATAACTCATAAAGCCTTACTGAAATCATTGTGACCTAGTGGAACCTGAAGGATAGGAATACATAATTAAAAACCTATCCTATAAATAAATCCTATCCATTTATTTTTTTATTTTCTATATCATTGTTTTACAATTTTGCACAAGGTACACGTGTTGGTGGGATCCTCTTTTCCTATTTACTAAAAAACAAAAAAACAAAAAAAACACGACAGTGATAACATGAGAAACAACTAGCAAAACACTAGGAAAAAAATAAACTGAATTGAAAAAAAACATTCTAAATAGGAACATATATTTGTTTTTGGGTTGTTTTTTTTAGCTTTTTTCCAAATCAGCAATTTGGATTTCCTCCTTTGTTTTTTAACCGGTTGATAATTCGCTAATTGTTTAGTAAATAGACCCCTAATTATTATCACCTCTATTCATTACACGGAGAAATATTGTTAGTGGAAAACGATTTCCATTCGCTCTATTTATCAGCATGTAGCTCAATCTATATCCCTATAAAATCGTTATATTGCCACATAGTGTTGCACTTCAGTGACAATATTCTGAATATTTCCATAATCTGTATGTATTTATCCCAAAGTCCAGTAAAATATGCAGTGTACAGTGTGATGTGTATAACGTAAAAACCCAGGTTATGTCAACAACAACAGTGCCTTGTTCGTGGCATTGTGTCCTGTAACACGACCTATGCTACTGTAACAATGTAACTCAAACAATCCACAGAGTAAACAGTGCAGTGAGTCAGCTCCCAGCCTGGCATGGAGTGTGCCAGTTCAGGGCTCAGCGTGAGTGGCAGATTGGGAAGGGGTGGGGACAGGTTAATGTTTTTCCTGAACTTCCACTACAGTGATCTTAAATTAAGCTATGTAATAAACTGAACACAGGAAGCAGGGGAGATAACAAGTTGGTTGTACAATCGGTTCACGAAGTATTCTAAAATCCGAACTGTCTGTGATCTGTATTTCTCTCTCATTCTCATTCATTCGTCCTCCTGTCCAATCTATTTGTATACAAGTGGAAATGCCTGTAGTAAGCACAGTTCTGATGTTAGGATGGACATGATAACTGCTGGACATGTGTATAGTGGATGTGTCTGTTAGTGAATAGCACTAGCCTAGCAATAACTACTCAGTAAATATCAGCATCAAAGCGAGTATCAGCCAAGCACACACTTTGTATTCGCCATACACACCAGCAAAGCCACATTCACTGCTGTGATAGGGGAAAAACTTCCAGAGAGCCGAGCCATGTTACCTGTACTGCTGGTAGAGAGAAACACCCTGATACACTGAGAGACACACTGTGAGTGAGAGACATTCTGATACACAGTAAATGAGTAAGACATACTGTTACAGCTGAGAGAGAGAGAGAGAGAGAGAGAGAGAGAGAGAGAGAGATAAAGAAAAAGAGAGGAGAATGACACTGATACACTGTAACTACTACAGGTAACTGAGACAGCAGACACCCAGAGACTGAGGAGGAGATAGAAAGAATGGGAAGAGAGAGACAGAGAGAATGAAAGGGATTAAAGAAGAAACCAATAAGATACAGTGATAGAGATACATGACTGCTAGTGATAGGGATTGCTTTGTAATAATAAATTATAGGCAGAGTTACACAGCATAGCTTGTGTACTCACACAGTGACACTCACTGACACAGTGACACACACTCACAGTGACACTCACACAGTGACACACACTCACAGTGACACTCACACAGTGACACACACTCACAGTGACACTCACTCACTCACTCACACTTTCTCTCTCCTCCCATTGGCTCCCTGCACGCGACACCCCGCGCTCTCCCATTGGCCGCTGTGACACGCGACCGGCGCGGGGCCAGGACCTGAGACAGGGAGGGAGGGGGGCAGGAGGGCGGCACGCGGGGGGTGTGGAGGGGGGTATAGTGCGGCGCGTGCCGCTTTTTAAAGGGACGTCTCGCCTCCAGCAACCGGAGAGGAGCTGTGTGCACGCGACCAGTGTGTGTGTGTGAGAGAGAGAGAGAGAGAGACCGCACAGCCTCACACCCAGCATCAGCCCGCTGCCTGACCCCGCATCACCATCCCGGGAGCCCCCGCTCAGTGAGCCCCGCTCTCCATGTCCCGGCTGCTGCAGAGCTCTGACTGGTGCGATATGAAGGACTGCGAGCCCGGGCTGCTGGCCAGGGACTACCTGCTGGACTGCACGGACCCCCGAGCCTGGCTGTCCGCCCCCTCCCTGCACGGCCCCCCGGACTGCCTGCTGCACGCCCCGGGCCGGGCGCACTCCATGCGGGAGCTGTGCAAGCTGAAGGCTCTGCAGGGGGAGATGGAGGAGGACGAGGAGGAGGAGGAGGAGGAGGAGGACGCGGAGTCTGAGTGCCGGCAGCGCGCCCCCTCCGGTAAGGGCACTCACGGGGTGCAGAAGCAGCGGCGGCTGGCGGCCAATGCCCGGGAGCGGCGCCGGATGCACGGCCTGAACCACGCGTTCGACCAGCTGCGGAACGTCATCCCGTCCTTCAACAACGACAAGAAGCTGTCCAAGTACGAGACCCTGCAGATGGCCCAGATCTACATCAACGCCCTGTCCGACCTGCTGCAGGTCCCCCCCGAGCACCCCCCGCCCGGCCCGCCTGGCCCGCCATACCCCCTGCACCCCGCCGCCGGGGACTTCTCATACCCCTACCAGCAGGGGGCGCACCCCAAAGCCCCATCCCCGGCCTCCACCGGGAGCAGGGAGTCCCCGGCACAGGACAGCAAGACCTCCCCCAGCTCGCACCGCAGTGACGGAGAGTTCTCCCCACACTCACACTACAGCGACTCGGACGAGGCTAGCTAGTCAGGAGCCAGGGGAGCCCGGCTGGCATGGACTCAGTACTTACCTGGCACTGGGCACTTACCTGGCAAACAGGCCAGGCTTCTTCCAGACTCACACAGAAACAGTAAGCGGTGTCAATGGGGACCACACACTACAAATGTCACCCCCCTCTCCCCAGCCCCTGCAAGAAGAGACTCAAGTGTCAGCATCTACCTGTCTAGACTAAACCAGAGACATTGGGTGGTATCGGCGTGCCCTAGACTTCTTCTTCTTCATATTGCCATTAAGCATTGCATTGTTAGCCCCACAACCTGGACCACCACTATGTCCAGGTCCCCTTGCAGTGAAGGTGTATTACTTTTTTTTATAGGTTACATGTCTGTTTGTTTGTTATTTTTTTCATGAACAAAGATAGAACACTTTTGTATGACCTATAGAACCCTGCCAACAGAATAAAGAATTGTACTCTGCTGATTCAATAAGGTTCCGAATTTGCCACGGGCACACCTGAACATTCGGCAATGTCTTCCATTAGATCCGAAAGTCTTCCAAAAAAAATGAGCAAAATTTTCACCACTGCAGATTTATGTGTGTGTATGTATATAAAGATATAAATATATAATTGTGACCCAAAACTGCCTTGCTATGTAAATAGTGAAAAAAAAATGTTAGTTTTATACTAAATATGTCCCCATGTTTGTATATCTTCTTGCAAAACTGCACTTTAAAGCCAATAATGGCAACTAATATAAAGCAGATGATGAGAAAAAAAAAATACAAAATGCTTACTGCCAACCATCAACAATCATCCATTTAGCCATTTATTACACCATTCGAGTAGCACACCGATGTGCAATTCTACTGCATATTGTCATTGGCACTCTAAGAGCTAATTCTTGTCATTGCATGGAAGGAGGGGGAACGCATTTTTGTGTCAAAGTTATCATAATTTTTCTCTTGCTTGCGTTATTAGATACATATTTATTGTTGTGTTTGCTATATGATTTGCTTGTTTTATTACTTTTTTTTTACTTTTTCTATGAAAAAAAAAACAAAACAATACATTTTGATGTAGAACAGTTATTGCCATCTTTTATTTACTGTTTCTGGGATAAATTAATAAAAAAAAAAAAGATACATTGAAAAAAAGAAATATTACTTGGCTCATGTGTCCTTTTTATCGTTTTATTTGTTTGTAAAAAGGGTTTAACTTGCCTAATGAACTTGCAAAAATGTCTGTACTGGGTAATAAAAAAACATTTTAATTATTACTAACGATTTTGGAATGACTTAAGGATCTCTACGATTTTACTAAAACAAGAATATTTGATTAACAAAAAAAAAATATCTAAATTTAGTCAGCAATATGTGATTTGGGAAAATTCATAAACTCTGCTATATGAGGCACAGATAATATTTTTGTCTTAACTTTAAGTTTTGGTTTCCAATGCTCTACAATTCGGTGTGCATAAACTGCCTGCAGTTAAAATATATATATAGCACTTAATTCCTTTTTACGAAAGCAATTATTAGAGATCCTAAATGACTATCCACGCTTGTTTATTGTAACTGAATATAATTACAACATTCAACAATTACATAATTTTGTGTTTTCCTACGTAAACCTGACACACAATAAATAAATAGTAAAAGAATGAAATTTAAAAAAAACCCTTTTCTTTATGATGTTAATAATTTTGGGAATACATTTAGTTTGCATGTGGGAATTAATTCATTTAATAATCAAATGTTGAAAGGTAATTATATGTTAACATAAAGTACATAAAAATTCGTTGTAAGCTACAAATAATAACCTATATATATTTCATCCGTTACACGTGTGTGTGTCTGCTTGTCCGGGTATGTGCGTGTGTGTATACATATACATATTTACGTTTTATCGTTCGTCAACTTTGAGTCATTGTAATCGGACTTTGAGTTAAGATGCAAATGAGGTTTGTTAAAAAAAAATCAAAAATATAACTTATTAAATAAAACATTCCGTCAAAACAAAAATATCTATTGCACTAATAACAATATTATTTGTTAATCAAAAGCCAGTTTGTTTCCAAATAAGACACTGGCATTCTAAGAAGAGCTGCCAATGTACTACCAGACAATTACATGCAGGTTTAAATGTGCTCTAGAAAATACTAATTTAAATATAAGATAAATAATTATATTCGCAATAATGACATAATTCATATTTACACAAATACAACTCTATCTCATCTAATCTGTCTGTCTGTCTATCTAATCTACATACATTTTAATTAAATGTTGGGGTTATGCACTGGCAATACGTTGCTATCAAAAGATAACCCACTGTGAGATTTATCATAAAATTGTCTAATTGAAAAAATTAATAAATAATAAGAATAATCTTTAATTCTGATGCATTTTAGATTTTCCTCCCTTCTCTTTTAGTCTTACATTTTAAAGTTGTAAACTCATAAAAGCTAGATTTTTGTGAGAAAAATAGTCTTTCTTAATAATAATAATAATAATAACAATTATTATTATTATTTGCGTTAAAATAATATCAATAATAATAATAATACTTATTATAAATATTATTTGTATTATATGTAGCGCAGAACATTTTCTAAATTCATAGAGACAAGTTTGAAAACTAACAAAAATATCTCTACTGAGCTTTCCTTCTTGGCAGACAGTAAAAGGGCAGAAAGCACGTGTGCCAGCTTATATGTGCCAGCAATGTTCCTGTGTAACACATAGTACGAAAGCTAGAATACTTTATCTTTTTATTAGATACTGATGGAGTTAAAATACCTGTAACGTACCTGTGTATTACATAGTGTGTGTATTACATAGCGCTAGAGATAAAATACCTTTGTATTCCATAGTAGTGTAGTAAGTACCTGTATATTACACAGTGCTGGAGATAAAGTACCTGTGTATTAGACAGTGTGCGTATTACTCAGTGCTGGAGATAAAGTACCAGTGTATTAGAAAGTGTGAGTATTACTCAGTGCGGGAGATAAAGTACCTGTGTATTAGACAGTGTGAGCATTACTCAGTGCTGGAGATAATTACTCAGTGCTGGAGATAAAGTACCAGTGTATTAGAAAGTGTGAGTATTACTCAGTGCGGGAGATAAAATGCCTGTGTATTAGACAGTGTGAGTATTACTCAGTGCTGGAGATAAAGTACCTGTGTATTAGACAGTGTGTGTATTACTCAGTGCTGGATATAAAGTACCTGTGTATTAGACAGATTATATATTACTCAGTGCTGGGGATAAAGTACATGAGTATTAGACAGTGTGTGTATTGCTCAGTACTGGATATAAACTAGCTCTGTATTACATAGTTTATGTATTACAAAGTTCTGGGGATAAAGTACCTGTATATTACATTGTGTTTGTATTACTCAGTGCTGGGGATAAAGTACATTTGTATTAGACAGTGTGAGTATTACTCAGTGCTGGATATAAACTACCTGTTGTTTACATAGTGTGTGTGTATTACATAGTGCGTGTATTAGTCAATGCTGGGGATAAAGTCGCTGTGTATTACATAGTGCGTGTATTAGTCAATGCTGAGGATAAAGTCGCTGTGTATTACATAGTGCGTGTATTACACAGTGCTTGAGATAAAGTACCTGTGTGTTACATGGAGTTTATACTATACAGTTCTGGATCTTGGCTCTATGCTTTCTTTGTTAACTGTAAAGTTAAAGCCCCCTTGTTATTTTTTCTGCGGGTGATTAGACCCTGGAGAAATTAATTAGGTGATGATTACCTCGTGGGGGGGGGATACACCTGTCCCTTTGATAACCTTTTGCACGATTTCAGATGCATATCAGGGATCTTGTTGCTAAATGAATCAGGTTAAAGCTACTCTCACAATGTCCTGGCACTACTAATGCCTTGTACCGGGCGGGTGAAAAGTTCACATGGACCATATTTTATTCCTAACTGAAAATGGAAAGATCTACTGAGTTTATTGTATTATATGAGGGCCTTTGTGATATAAAACGAAATTGACACACTCTCTCTCCCTATCTCTCTCTCTTTCGCTCTCTTTATTTCCCTCAACTTGCAAAATGTATATCTATATAAAAAGTATCCTCTAATTTCTTAGAGATGAGACTTTTTCCTAATCAGCTATTGATGTTTTATGCAGAACTTAGTAAATCTGTTCCCAAGTCACTGTTTAATTATCAGACCTCCTCAGATCTTCTTTACATCTCAGCACACACTCCTGCCAGGCAGGGAATTGCTGTTTCGAAACATAAAACTCTATAAACCTGAAACATAAACCTGGGTCCTGAATAAGATTAAAGCTACAATGGTCACGTATTAAATAATCGAGACAGCCAAGCAGTCTCTTGTGTTCTGTAACTCTCCTAGTGTCTATAACAGGACACCATCTCAGAGTCTACTTGAAACTGGTCCAAATCCAGCAGCATCCCTCCTAGATAAAAGTGATCTGATGCTAATATTGTGGCCTCCCATCTTCCCCAACTTCCACAGAAAAGAGTTGGATATAAATATAACTGAAACAATGTCTCAATGTGGAGCCTGTGTGTGTTTGCCTATCCCTTACTTGGCAGAACAAATTCTTACACTCCATTAACAAGCTGTAACGTATAAGCTGCAGGTTGCTACAAACTCATTAATATTTTGGATATTGTTGAATATTGAGTACTTCACAGAGCACATTTCCCATATGTTAGCCCACTCCTGCCATGCTGGCTGACCCCTTTCTCTCCATTATTAGCAATTAGCCTCTACTTTCTAAAGTCAGGTCCAAGTAACCAAGATACTTCGCAAACAAATCAACAATGTGTGCAGAGAAGGAAGACAAAGAGTGAAGTACTCATCATTAAATGATAAGTGGTGATTTATAAAATCTATATAAAAAAAATCCACATCTTTTAATTAGGAATAAAACTACACCAGGGAAATCTTTAATTTTTCTTTCTTTCTTTCTTTCTTTCTTTCTTTCTTCCTTTCTTTCTTTCTTTTTTTTTCATTCTTTCTTTCTTTCCCTCTTTCTTTCTTTCTTTCTTTCTTAATTAATTTATTTATTTTGGCAGTTAATTCATTTCCCATAATTTTAAGTCCTGATGCTAATAATGTATTGAAAACTATACCCACACACTATTTTAATGATATGATTATCACTAGCTAATTGTTTTATATTGCACTGACAACGAGTTAGATTGTAAGCTCATGGAGCAAAAATATTTATTTTAATATTAAATGCTGCCTATTATATCATCATTTGATAAGGTTTATTCATACTGCTCCCCAAAACATATTAATATATTAATCGTGTGATATAGTGAGGATAAGGAAGCCCGGTGAAGGGTTAAAGTTGAAAGAAGGGGGTGAGAGGAGAAGTGTGGTGGACCTGTGGTAATGTGAGTGTTTCTTAATTAGACGAGGATGACAATAGAGGCTTGGCAGCAATCTATCCTGTCCTTAGTGTTGGATGTCTGGAGCACGCTGTCAGCTGGTGAGCGCACTCTCCATTCATTGCTCTCCTTGGGGAGCTGAGTCCCAAATCTAACACCAACTCTCCCCCTGCTAACATGCAGTGCCCCTACACAAATAATAATAATCACTAGCCTCCACCTTCTAACCCTTTATCTGTCACTAGATATGACAGCAGCAAGTTAGTCACCCTGCTCACTCCTACACATTCACCCTCTATACAATAAACACACATAGACACATACACACAACATACACAGATATGCATCCTGCACACCTATAAACATGCACACGGACAAAATACACGTACACATAGCACATTTCTAAATGCATACATTTATTAATAAGCTGGGAGAGAGATATCAAGTCAGAAACAGGTGCTATTGCAGGGCAAACTGATAAACAATTAAGAAACACTCACATTACCACAGGTCCACCACACTTCTCCTCTCACCCCCTTCCTTCAACTTTAACCCTTCACCAGGCTACATTGTCATTCTCGTCTAATTAGTATTTTTAATGGACACTAATACAATGAATAGACATTTTTGCCCTTTGCAGGTAGAATATCACGTTTTTATTTCTTTGATAAATTTTCCCCTAAGTATTTTAAATAATAATTTAAACCTGTGTGTTGAATAAACATGGACCAAGCCTTGCAATACAT